ACGTTATAAAACGTCTCAACATCCTTGAGATCTGCCTTTTTGAAGTGGAGGGAACGAAAACAATCCGGCTTGTCTCATATTTACATTTCAGCCATGAGTGGATGTCCTTATTTTCAGAAGAAATTTGTGTATGTATTTTAAGCATTCAACATATTTAGATGATACTGATAATCTCAAAGCCACAATTCTCCCTTAAATGTAGAAGATAATGTTTCTGCCATATCTGAAACCAGACGACAAACCTACACTGAGTGTTGTACACAAAAGTGTCTTTGCTGTTGATGCATTTGATGAAAATACAGGTCAACCAGTAAGCAGCATCTGAAAGAAGATGAGAATGATGATTCTCAGACTGGAGTTAATAAGGCCAGCAAAGGAGGTCGTATTTACGGTGACTATCTGCAGGTAAACTACACATTAGCTCATGCTTATTAATGATATTTTTATATGTTTTAATAAGCGTAAAGCATAGCTTCCCCTAAAATAGTTCATGATTAATTGGCGAGCAGCCCTGGAATCTAAAGTTTATTATAATGGTCTGTATGTTCAGAACACCATGTGATTCTTCCTTAGTTGCCAACTTAATTAACACTGGGAAATGCATGCATTTCAGATTTTAATGGCAAAGAGTGAACTAGTTAGTTAGTTTTATGTTCTATTTTAAAAATGGTAATTTCAGACTTTTTCGGCTTGCTTTCCATGAAACAAAAATGTTCTCTCATCCCCAGCTGGATAAAATAGTGACATCTCAGGTGCTTCAAAGTGAGCTGAAGGGAAACAAGATCCATGACGAACATCTGTTCATCGTCACACATCAAGGTGAGCCAAACAAACGCTAAACAGCCTTCGGGCAAATCAGTCTTAGCCTCTCTCCAATGAACGCTCCCAAAACACGGCAGGCAAAAAATGCTCATTTCCCCGTTTATAAAGCTGAATGTTGACAAGTTTCACTGCAGACAAAAATAGGCAAGACTAACTCAAAAACTCGACAACATGTAACCCGTGTTCTGTATCTGATTTAACGTCAACAATCAAGCATCTACCACACCAGTAAATCCAGCATTACTCAAACTCATGCACATAATACGTGCATAAATAAATACATGCTGAAATGTAATGACTTTCATAACCTTGGAGTTCAATGGCAGTACCTCAGTACATTACGCTTGAAATGTAATGACTTTTCACATGTAACCTGAAGAAATGATTAACTCATTCCTTGGATTGCAGCATATGAACTGTGGTTTAAACAAGTTCTGTGGGAGCTGGACTCAGTGAGAGAAATCTTCATCAGTGGACATGTGAGTAGCCTCAAACATGAAGACTTGTGTTACTAGGTTGCGAACAGCTGTAGTTATCAGATTTAGCTCCCTAACTTGAATGGGCTTGCTTTTAATCAATGTAACACGATTAAGATTTAATAAGTCACCTATTAAAAATTTGTTAAAGACCATTTTTAATGAGAATGTTACATCTAATGAAGGTTCATGCTGACAGGGCACAAAGAAGAGATTGGCGAGAGATGATGAATGATTTTCATAAATATCTGAAAATAAAACACCAATTCAGACAGAACCAGGGCAATTATTTTAATGTTGTTATCTTTTATTTTGTGCTATTCTGCATTAGTATTCAAAAGGTTGGTAAAAAAAATTGTATGTTTTTTGTAAGAAGTCTCTTATGTTCGCTAAAGCTGTAATATTGTGAAATATCATTCAAAATTGAAAATAAATGTTTTCTATTTTAATATATTTTGAATTGCAATTTATTCCTTTGATGGTAAAGCTGAATTTCCAGCAGTCATTACTCCAGTCTTCAGTGTTAATCATTGTAATATGCCAAATTTATGCTCAAGAAACATTTATTATTATTATTATTATTAAAACTGAAAACAGTTGGGCTTCTTAATATTTCTGTGGAAACAGTGATTAAGTCTCACTGCCAAACAATTACTGAAAACAAGTATTACATTTCCTGGATAACAGAATTGTTTGGGCAAACTTGCTGTTGGAAATGTGCTACCACTCAAGAGACAGGAGATAGCTAACTCAGTAAATAAGCATTAGATGGCACTAATTTGTTAAATCAAAATCAATGGCAGTGTTTAGCATAATTGCATTTAGCTCGATTGATCTGCGTTTTTTTGTACACAGGGAATATCTCTCACCTGCTTCAGGCTTCCAGAGTCTGCAGTTTCGACTGTTGGAAAACAAGATTGGGGTCCCGCACAACCAGAGGGTCCCCTACAACAGAAGGCATTACCGGGACAATTTCCGTGACCAGGAAAGTGAGCTGCTCCTGCATTCAGAGCAGGAGCCCATGCTGCTGCAGTTAGTGGAGGTAAACCTAAGGGAAATGACATTATAAGATGAAATATTAGCTGTGAAGTCATGAATACTGTATTAATCAATGAAATTCAGCACAAGAACCATAACTTACTGGATTTCATTGCAGGTTATTGGTATTCAGAGAGGAATAGGTTACGTAGCCAATTTATATATCAAGTCAGGGTTAATCTAACAGACAGCAACCTGCTGATTAACATTTCTCATAAGCAATCAATACTTTCCAGCAATGGCTGGAGAGAACGCCCGGCTTGGAGGAAGATGGCTTTAATTTTTGGGGGAAACTGGAAACCAATATTTTTGAGGGGCTCAGGAGAGAGAAGGAACAAATAGAGGTATGTGGAGGATCCCTGGATAATTCTGTGCAATGCTCACATCGAAGTTGTAAGTGACAACTCTTGTTTACTCTTAATAGCAAAAACCAGCCTCAGAGATGAAAGAGGAGATGATGGCCGAGCTCATTAAGCAGAGAGACATTTTCTTATCGCTCTTTGATGTGAAAAGACATGATCACAGCTCTCGAGACGCTGCAGAGATACAATGTCAAGTGACAAATCCTCTAGTGGTTACAAGTGAATATCTTCTGTCTGTGCAGGTCAGAGGAGGCTGTCCTATAAAGCACTGCAAGGAGCACTGATGATCTACTTCTACAGGTACATCTATCTGCAGGACGACCTGCTAATTTACTCACAAAATCAGTTAAAAGATGCTGTTCTATGACTCTTATGCTCAACAAGGCTTCGTAAAAAAAAAAGAAAAAAAAAGAGGTAATAGTAATGTTTTGAAATATTTTTACAATTTTAAATAACTGTTTTCTATTTAAATATATTTTAAAATATAATTTATTTCTGTGACGGCAAAGCCATCAGCCATTTCTCCAGTCTTCAGTGTCATGATCCATCAGAAATCATTCGAATATGCTGATTTGATCTTCAAGAAACATGTCTTCTTATCAATTGTGAAATAATTTTCAGGGTTCTTTGATGAAAGTTCAAAAGAACATCATTTTCATACTGTATAAATCTTTTGTAACAATATACATGTTTTAACTGTCTCTTTCGACCAATTTAAAGTGCCCCAGCCTATTTTGGGCCTAATGAAAGGTTCATATTTTGGTTTTGGGAGTCCCCAACAACAGGCTGACATGCATGCAAGGTCAAAAAACACTTTCATTGTCTTATAATATGCATTTATTTTTTACCTTATTTGCTCAACGACTCCCAAACGATTCGCTCAACGATTCATTTTTCCAAACCCCTCCTTTGCGTGCTGCTAATCTGCGGTGATTGGTCCTTGCCTGTAATGCCTGATAAAGCAGCGTTTGTGAGCACAGTGCTGCTTTGTGTACAGCCGTTACCGGGAAACCGCTATTTTTACCGCTCCAAAAGTGGCACCTAGTAGCAAATAATGAACTTGCATTTTCATTCAGACCAACGCGAAAAGACCAACAAGTGGGCGGGAAATATGCTAATGTTTCATGTTGAGTCAACATGAAACTGCTTGGTATTTGTTTAAAGACTACTGGTTTCAATGATTCAGAGTCGACTCTTTCTTTTGAGAGACTATAACTTTATACACGGTGCACTTTCAGATTTAAAACTTTGCAGAAAGTTTTCATTCACTTAGAGCTGTGTTACACACTGCATGAAAGGTAATTTTCAAAACTCCATGATGGGGGCACTTTAAATATTTTTTTTGCTGAATAAAATCATTAAGAATAGTAGTGTATATTAACTTTTAATGCATTAGGTAACACTAACATTGAACAGTAGTTTACAATTAACAATATATATATATATATATATATATATATGTGTGTGTGTGTGTGTGTGTGTGTGCTAAAAATATAGAACTGTATGTAGAAATTAACATTAACCAAGATAAATAAATATTGTAAAAGCATTGTTCATTGTTAGTTCATGTTATTGGTATTGCTATAGTGTTGAAAACTTACATATTTGAAAACCAACCCAAGTTAAATTTGACTCGTCTGAAAGATAGGCCTACTACAAAACATTACCTTAACATTTACAAATATACTTTTAAAATCAGATGTAATATGGTACTTCTTGGCATATGTCATGGTACTGAATGATACTTGCCATTTATTTACTATTTACATGATACTCCACTTAAAACAATACCATGGTACTTTTCCTGAAAATGTTTTCTGATAGCTCATTTGTAACTCAACTTATCGCCATCTGCTCTCAGGGAGGAGCCTCGATTTCAGGTTCCTTTCCAGCTACTGACATCTCTGATGGACATCGACACCCTCATGACAAAATGGAGATGTATGTGACACCACTGAAAACATAAAGCATCAGGACAACAAATAAACCTGACCTAAAACACCCTGCGGGGCAAAGCCTATTAGGAATGTCAACACTGAATAAAAGAGAACTAAAGATTTTCTTTTGCATATCAATAATGATTTTATTTTACTTCCTGCATAATTTATGCTGGAATTTTCCCCTAGACAACCACGTGTGTATGGTGCACAGAATGATTGGCAGTAAAGACGGCACAGGTGGCTCATCAGGCTATCAGTATCAGTACCTGCGCTCCACTGTCAGGTAGGCCAAATAATCTGGGACAAATCCAGTCTTCAGATGAAACACACTGCATCTGTTGAAATTATCCATGTGAAACAATGCTGAAAAATGAGATGTGAATTGGCAGCAATATGCAAACCTTCTAAACACAAACCACTTAAAAACAAGAACAGGATGTATTGATAAGCCTTATGTATGTTTTGCCAGTGATCGCTACAAGGTGTTTGTGGATCTGTTTAACCTGGCCACCTTCCTGGTTCCGAGGGAGTGGGTTCCCAAGCTGGACCCGAGTGAGCACACCTTCCTGTACATGGCCGAATGCTGCGACAGCTCCTACTGCAGCAGCAGCGATGACTCAGACTAAACAGATGGAGGGATGAGGAAAGGATGGACAGCGTTTGCAGAGTACAGAAGAAAAAAAAAAAGCTTCACACCTCACAAGTCCACCATCACCAAGATTTGTCACCAAAAACTTTTTAAATGACAGAATGAGAGGCTACAAAGCTGTGCTGATTTTACAGAAGTTCTAGAATATGAATTGAAAAGATATGAATATGAAAAGTCAATTTAACAACAGTGTCGACAAAATATCTACATCAGTAAAACTGTTGATGCACTTGTGTATATATTGTCAATATAATATAATATTTTAACATGTAATAAACTGATTTCTGTTTTGTAAATAAAATACACACCTATAGAGAAACTTCTTGTTTATTTGAAAAAAAAAAAAATAAAATAGACAATGTTTTTTTGTCAAAATGTAAACTTGGATAGAATAGTGTTTATATACTATACATAAACATTTCTGATTATTTTTAAAATGCATTAGCAAATGCAAAACTATAAAACAGAATAAAAAGTAAACTTTGTAGTTAAACATTTTTATAAAAGCAGAACTTTTTAAATATCTGGTACATGCTGTAGTAATAAGCACTTTTTCTTGCAAAACTCTTTAGGGCTGTAATTAGTATTCACATCTAATAATATTTTCACATTTTTGCAGATGAGTTCACTTGTGTCCTATATCAGTGCAATGTCACAATACAATACGTGTTCAGTTGTGCACTTGTATTCACCAACAGTGTTTTCTACAGATTAAAACATACTTATGGACAAATCTAGCTGGTGTGTGATAACTAAAATAGAATGCGGCTCTGACTGCGATTATTTTGGGCTACAGTGGCTGGGATTAGGAATGTGGTGTATTAGCTCAAAGAGCAGCGTACTTGTTTTGCATTCGAGAGGCAATAGGATTTGTTATCCACATCCCCGTGATAATTTTTACAATTCTCATCAGCTACACCGGAGGATTTCCATCCTGAGGGTGATATTTTTAAATGTCGATCTGCCACGGTCTTTTCACGGAAGTACAAAGATTATTGACAATTACACAAAAACAGCAGCAACGTTGTCCGCAATGCCTGGGAAAAGAGAAAGAGTGGCTGTTGAGTGTCATCTGACATTGCATAAAGTCATTCAAAGCAACTGACAAACAAGATCACGACTTCAAAATAACCTCGCTACATCATTTCCAAATCATCTGATATGAATTTAAACATGATCAATTAAGCATTTATGATTGGATTTTTACATTACACACAGTATTGACTGTTTGCCAAAGTCCAAAAATTTCATGAATATTTATGAATGCACACAATGCCTCACAGCAGCAGAATGTATTGCGTGTATCACTGTGACTGTCAACAAGGTAAAAAAGCATTAAAAGTGGGTCACTATATAAACTTACCACACATGTCATTCCCTATTTTTATATATGCATATCCATTGTCACCCCATGAGGTCCCCCATGAATTGCGTACTATCCAATACGGCACTTCCCCTGTGACAAAATATGAAGACACATCATTGAAAATATACCCTAAAATGGGAAATGATTAATAACAAGTCATTCTACATAGTATAACGGTATGAAATGATTGATAATGCTCGCAGCAACAGTTTTGGCATGACACGAAGCATCAATTTCTCTACTTTACCCTGAAAGTACCTAATTTAAACTAGTAAACAAACAAGAGAAAACAAATCATCACAGAGGATAAATGCTGCGGACAGCTTGCTGATTATAGTGCAGACACATCAGGCAGTTTTCTGGGATGTTGGCGCACAGCCAGTGTTTGCCAGTGTCTGCTCAATTTTGTGCCCTTGACAGGACGTAATCCGTGAAGGCCAGCGCTCTGAACCTTTATATGCTCTGAGGCACAAGTAAAGAGTGTTTAACCACCCGTGTCTGTGTGTGTGTACCTGTGGTATCATAACCGGTTATCAGGACGGCATGGTTGGCGTTGTGGCTGGAGCAATGGTGCTGAATGATGCCGCCCAGGTAATCCTGCCAGCTGATGGCATCCACAATGACAACAAGAGGCCCCGACTCCACCAGCACACTCATCATCACCTCCTCCTGTCCACTACAACAACATACACTTGAAGTCAAAAGTTTACATACACCATGCAGAATCTGCAAAATGTTAATTATTTTACCAAAATAAGAGGGATCATACAAAATGCATGTTATTGTTTATTTAGTACTGACCTGAATAAGATATTTCACATAAAAGATTTTTACATACAGTCCACAAGAGGAAATAAAAGTTGAATTTATAAAAACAAACGTTCAAACGTTTACATCCCCTTGATTCTTTATACTGTGTAGTTACCTGGATGATCCACAGCAGTGTTTTTTTGTTTAGTGATAGTTGTTCATGAGTCCCTTGTTTGTCCTGAACAGTTAACCTTACTGCTGTTCTTCAGAAAAATCCTTCAGGTCCCACAAATTCTTTGGTTTTCCAGCATTTTTGTGTATTTGAACCCTTTCCAACAATGACTGTATGATTCTGAGATCCATCTTTTTACACTGAGGACAACTGAGGGACTCATATGCAAATATTACAGAAGGTTTAAATGCTCACAGATGCTCCAGAAGGAAAAACCATGCATTAAGAGCCTTTTGAACAGAGAAAGAATACTTTTGAACAGAATGAAGATGTGTACATTTTTCTTATTTTGCCTAAATATATTTGTTTCATTAGTACTGCCCTTCAGAAGATACATTCATGTTTTCCAGGAGACAAAATAAGTTACATTTACTCTGATCTTCAAATTCAAAAAGTTTTCATATGAGTCCCTCAGTTGTCCTCAGTGTAAAAAGATGGATCTCAGAATCATACAGTCATTGTTGGAAAGGGTTAAAATACACAGAAATGCTGGGAAACCAAAGAATTTGTGGGACCTGAAGGATTTTTCTGAAGAACAGCAGTAAGTTTAACTGTTCAGGACAAACAAGGGACTCATGAACAAATATCACTAAACAAAAAAACACAGCTGTGAATCATTCAGGTAAACAACACAGTATAAAGAATCAAGGGGATGTAAACTTTTGAACTGGGACATTTTTATAAATTCAACTATTATTTTCTCTTGTGGACTGTATGTAAACATTTTATGTGAAATATCTTATTCAGGTCAGTACTAAATAAACAATAACATGAATTTTGTATGTTCCCTCTTATTTTGGTAAAATAATTAACATTCTGCAAATTCTGCAAGGTGTATGTAAACTTTTGACTTCAACTGTAACAATCCCATGGGCACAATACTTAGATTTACTTAATTGATTACTAGTTAATTTCCAAATTGAACACAAAAATACTGCACAATTTAAAATAACTGTTTTCTATTTCAATATACTTTCAACTGTAATTTATTCCTGTGATGGTAAAGCTGAATTTTCAGCATCATTACTCCAGTCTTTAGAGTCACATCATTCAGAAATCATCCTAATATGCTGATTGGGTGTTCAAGAAACATTTTGTATTATTATCAACATTGAAAGCAGTTGTGCTGCTTAATATTTTTGTGGAAACTGTGAAACATAGCTTTCAGGATTTTTAGATTAATAGAAAGTTCAAAAGTCTTTGTTGTCACTTTTGAAACCAAACCATGCAAACCGGCTCGCTGGTTGACCCAGTTGGTTAAGACAAAAACTATCTTGTCACAATAAGAACACTATGTAAGACACAGAGTGACATCTGGCACAAATGTAAGACAACGAAGCACAGGTCAGAAGTGTTTGGTTTGGTATTTGACCAGTGGTCCGTGAGCTTTGTGAGTGTACAGTCAGTGGCCGTTCAGCACCTGACCCTGAGTTGCAAACAGAGTTGACAAGAACAGATGAGTAAACATAAAACATTGGCCCACATCCCGACAAACTTCAACCTTGAATTTGAATAGTACATGAGGTCTACACTGCTCTTAATGCAATGGCACAGCTGACTGTTGATGTAAAGCTCAAGCCATCTGCATGCTACATCCATTACCTGAAGTCATAAGCTGAGTAATTCCTCACTGCCACTCCAGCGTGAGACTGAGGAAAGTACTGGCAGATCCCAGCCATGTCTTTGAAGGGATACTTCGCCTCATTCACCAACTTCAGTTTGGTCTGAAAAAGGATACACAAAACAGGATATGAGAATGTGCCAATTATGGAATTTCTGGGATGATAAACACCTTTAATCAGCAGCTTGTTGTGGCTGGAACGAACAAATTCTTTTTTTTTTTTTCACTTTCAAGTTTTAACCCTCTCAAAACTGCTGCAGCTAGCTAATTAATTAACACCCTTATTAAAATACTAATTAAGAAGCTTCTCAAAAAAAGGTGTCATTTAAAAGCTTCTTCACAATACATATCACAGATCTGACCAACATAATTACTGCTTTTAATCAGCTGTAAGATTCCAAGTGTCTTGTTTGCAAATTGAAGAAATATAAAATAATGATAATAGGATAATAATAACCTGTACAAACTTTGTTGCACAACCGTTTAAAATTTGGGGTCTGTAAGATTTTTTAATCAAAATTGAAGTAAAAACTGTAACATTGTGAAATATTGTTACAATTTAAAATAAACGGTTTCTATTTTAATAATAATAATAATGATAATAGTATTATATGTGACCCTGGACCACAAAACCAGTCATAAGTAGCACAGATATATTTGTAGCAATAGCCAACAATACATTGTATGGGTCAAAATTATCGATTTTTCTTCTATGCCAATTTTTTTTAAAAACTTAAATTTAAAATGTAAAAACTTTGGAAATGATTTAAAAATTGATTTAAAATGAATTTAAAACAGTTAAAAATAGAAAATGATTATACATAAAATACAGTGCAATCAGTTCGGATTGCATAAAACACAGAAAATACAGTGCAATCAGTTCGAACATGCTCATTCAATAAATGCACAGCTAAACTGATGAGTTTTGAGTCTAGATTTAAATGTGACTAATGTTTTAGCACTTCTGATCTCTTCTGGAAGCAGGTTCCAACTGTGGGCGGCAAAATAGCTAAAAGCGGACTCCCCTTGTTTTGTGTGAAACCTTGGTATTTCTAAATGACTCGATCCTAATGATCTGAGTGGTCTGTTAGGTTTATATTCAGTGAGCATATCTGCAATGTATTTAGGTCCTAGGCCATTGAGTGATTTATAAACGAGTAAAAGTACTTTAAAATCAATCCTAAATGTAACTGGAAGCCAGTGTAAGGACCTGAGGACTGGTGTGATATGCTCAGATTTTCTGGTTCTAGTCAGAATCCTGGCAGCAGCGTTCTGGATGAATGTCCTAAAATCATTAGGATATTAAGTAAAGATCATGTTCCATGAAGATATTTTGTAAAT